AGAAAATAAGTTTGAATATTTTTTTTTAATCATTACAATTTTATAGTATTAATTTTGAAATGCAACTTTGATGTAATAACTATACTGATTATGGAGGAATCAATGTACGTTTTTTAAAGTGTATTTTATCTTGTTTTCTTTATGTTTCTATTCTTTTTTTTTTACAAGCAACTAATGCTTTTTGAGTTATATCATTGTTATAACAAATGAATGATATTTCGATGCTATGCTTTTTGAAAATAAATTGGAAGGATGATATTTTTCGACAAATAAATGAATTGTAATTTTATTTTGTAAAGCGTGAAACATAGTTATTAAATAAAATATTTTCAATTCTGTTCGTTTATTTCTGATGGATTTGCTCCAAAATCTGTGCGGTCTACCGTGGTATGATTCTACGAGTATTATAGTATCAACGTTGTAATACGACAATTTTCACACCGTTGATAGCGTATTTTACGATGCACTTATTCGCGCAACCGATTTTCGTTAAGGTTTCTTATTACATAGCTCGGTGACAGGTAACTCTTATCATTTGCAAGTAACGCAATAACCATCACTCAAAATTGTTTTGATCATTGATAATTTCATTTCTAACCAAACTTCAACCTATCAGTCGCACAAAGTGAATATACAAAGTATTATAGAATAACAATCGGAAAATTGCTAAAATTAAATAATTATTTTACGTAAATAGTTATTTTGTAATGAATAGATAGAATTAAATAAATTAACTGTTATTCTGCAAAAAAGAAATTGATCCTTATTAGCACATAACACGAAAAAATACATATATGAATATGTAAAAATAAATATAAAAATACTAAATTTAATTAGTTGTTCAATTTCGGCATCGACATATACATAAAAAGAATTTATTTCGAATTCTTCAAAAATACAATTATTTTAGAAAATATTTCAACATTTTCAAAAGCGCTTTACTGGACAAGTTTGGGCTGTCATCATTTCAGAAATTATATCATGTAACTAGCTGAATTGTTAATATTATTTATAATATTTATTTTTACAAGTTTATAGATTATTTATATATTATTTAATCAATTATTTGATTATTAATTGATTATGATTTAACAAATACTAATTATTTCTATTTGATTATTTTTTTATATTTCCTTGCATTGTGTACCAAAAATAACACATTTCTTATACAACGTCCTATTTAATTCATTTCATTTTCTCAACTAGTAACAAAATATTGTTAATTATTTTTCTAGTTTCCAGTAGTTTTTCAATCACCCCATATATATATACACAAAGATTAAATATCGATTATGTCAAGATGGAGATTCACGATGTCTTGATATTTACAAAGTCATTACAAAAGCTACTTAGTTTCAACATCTTCCTGATTCTTACTCCGTATACGTACACGTGGATTAAGTACATCCTTGCGATTATGACAAGATAGGTTCTCGATACTTAACTATGTCTTGGTATTTAATTTTCGCCTCCAGTCACGTGATGGCAGTCATGACAGGCAAATGCCACAAAAAGGTCACGGAAAAATGGGTCTTTGCAGTGAACGTCCTTGCGGATCGGTTAGCCTCATCTAATCGTTAAGTCGAGTCTGTGTCTCCACTATGCACGCTAATCGCCGCTCTTCTGACTAAGAAAACCCACGGAGAACCTTTCACTCGTTTCATGAATCACTACCGAAGTACGCCGTTAATTAAGTATCGTTTCTCTCTCGCGCGAGAGAAATAGTGACGCAAATAGCGCGTACCAACGATCAGTAGCGTCATCCATCAAGAATACCATCTGTCGGGAGATGTAGTTTGTGATGTAGCCCGTGTCGTATAAATTGTGATTTCACTAAATGTTTCACCGTAGCGCGATTTAGCGGCAGATGAAATCAGAAACAACTTCTCTTTAGTGGATAATCTTACGAGAATCTTCATCTGTGATTCGATGTTTCTCGAGGGATTAATTAATTGAGCCAAAATATACTTGGAATTAATCAAATTTCGAGCTAATTAAATGCACTTGGAATTAATCATATCTCAATAATTAATTAAAAGACAATAATTGTAAAAGCTGTCGATGGTTTTCACAATTGAAGTCATCTGTTGTTTTATCGAGTATTTTTCAAATAAGTATTTTTCTGTCTTCGTACAGATTTAAAAATCTTTTTCCACGATTAAAGTATAATCGATAATGTAGTTCAAACCAGTTGACTTAATGCCAAAACAAAAGTTGGAAAATTATAGCTCTTTATCGGCTTCCGACGTCGACTTGTAACAATATTTGCTTTATATAAAAGTTTTATACGTTGTATATTTTAAACTTTGTATAAAACCATTTTGATTTGCACCAGGGATTACATGAACAATGTTGAATTCTTAGAATTAGACTTATCTAATATAAAGATTAGTTAGTTAGAAAGTTTGTACGTGCAATATTAATATAATAGTGTGCAGTCAATGTGTCAATGACACGTAAATCATATAAAAGTCCATATGTGTAGATCTTGCTGAATCGATAAAAGAGATAATTTTAGAATCTAACGCTTTAACAGCGATAATTCTTAGTATGCATGATCGAATGATTCATATCCTATACATTTTTCTTCCTTTAAAATACTAGCAGCACCAACAATAATTAATTATAATCATTTATGTACAATCTTTTTTAACACACAATCTTTTAAATATTTTTTAAAGACGTTAAAATATATGCAAGAGTCACTTAATAATTTTTTGCACACTTGTAAAAGTGATAAGAATTAACCCAGAACACGAACAACCCATCGTGTACAGTAAAGGAAAATCGTCGGGTGTACTAAGAGTTAAGAAAGATCGTTAAAAGACGATTTCGTTATTTACAGTTCAAGTATACTAAATGAAGCTAAACGATCGAGTCATTCGGGCGAAAGTCGGAGCAGGGATTGCGTTAGATAATTCTTACACATACTGTGAAGCACACTCTAGAAAGAAAGAACCTGGGAAGTGAAGCAATCGGGACGGCGAGCGCGAAGACAAACTCGCCAAACATTAATTCTCATACTATCGGTTTTTGTCTCGCGCAGATGGACCGGCACAGTTGCGAGATGGAAGCCGGCAAGCGTGTACAATAATCTCGGACATCTCCCCACGCTCTCCAGACTGCAGACGCAAGACGTGAGAACGTGTGGATAGCGGTCCCCAGGTATCGTTACCGCAACCCCCATGTAGTATGTACAACGGTCCTGCTGAGCCTCGCGGCCCGTGACGGTTCGCTCGCGGCACGCGTTACAAAACGACGCGGCCTTGAAGCGAGTTTCTCCGAGAGTACCAACCGGTGCCCCGTTGCGAGTATCCAAGGTACTCCTATATGAGCCTGGAAGACGGATAACGGACGGACAGGTGCGCCGCATTCCTGCAAACGGCACTCCAGCTGTATCGTCGGCGTCGTCGTTGTCGTCGTCGACGACGCAGACGACAACGACGATGATGGAATAGCTTCTCTTGATATATACGGGAGTCTCGTCCCGTGTGAAACGCGGGGGAAAAAGAAACCGCGGACAAATACGTGCGGGAATGCTCGTGACCAGACAATCGAATTTGTTATCGGCTTGTGTATGCTGGCAAGCATTTCTTCGATTTACGTGGTGATCGAACGAAACGAGCGGCGGACGTGCGGTGCCCGAAATCCGGATGCTTTCACTCAAAGAAGCATTCGGTACGACATCGCTTCAACCTACCTTTTTTATCGGGACTTCGCGAAAACTAATTTTGAAGCTGGGAAGATTAAGTTTGGAACTCTCCGTGACGTTCACGAGTTCTTAAAAAGAAGGGAAAAAAAAGCTAGCAAGTCGGAAACCGCAGGTATATCATATCAGCGGGTTCCAACCATCTTCGATCGTAGACTAAAAATGGGAACGAAAGGGAATTAGTAAGTGCCGGGAATAAGGACAATGGCGTTCATTTGCATATTATAGAGAAAGCATGAGAGGCACGAGAAGTATGAAAAATCTTCACGGTGTATCTACGGTTGCGTTGTATATATGTTTCCAGGTCCGCGCAATTGGCGCCGTTCGAATTCATTGACGCCGTGCGAAGCATTGCCCAACTTATTTGGCACCATCTCCCGCGATTAATCTCAAAAAAATTTTTTCAACAAGATAGCGGTAGATTGCGTTTACTTTTAAATCAAGATATAAAAACGTTTGACGCTTTAACGCTTCGCAAACTCGAGTCGGAGTCTGAAACGAGGATCGCAAAGAACGAAGACGGATTGGCCGCAATCCTCATTAAGAACTACAAACATTTAAGCAGAGCGGACAGGCGTTTTGTTTTTTTTTACCTCTTATGTCTTAACTATCTCTTTGGAGCATGAACAGTTCCAGTAAGCCACGTCCCGTCTGTTTTGCTTAACTTGATTTTTAGCTCACAGCGCAGCGTGGGATGAAGACCTCAGCAGTTGACCTGGTTCCCCGATAGATCGATTTTGGCGCGACGCATCTCACGAACATTCCTGAACTGCTATCGCGGTATCTCAGTCTCCAATACCTATCGCTTACTTATTTTTGGTCTTTACCTGAGAACGCGCAGATATGGACGGTATTTTTTCTTTTTTTCCCCCCCTTTTAACGTGGTACCAGAAAATTCGAGCAGTCAATGTCATTTCACGGTTGGTAGAGAAACGGAGAGAAAATAAAGAAGTGTCTAGAGAAAAATACACAGAAAAATATATATACGCAAATAATAACTACTTCTTTCACGTATTTCAAAAGTTCATGTGTCTGCAAATCTATAATCATAAATTTATCATAAGCATCAAATTTATTTAAAATATATTCTGAGTTCTCTCTCTCTCTTATAAATATACTCTGAGTAAATTTAATACTTCAATCACAGGATTATTAAATTTAAAACATTATTAAGATTATTAAGTTAAATTCGATTTATTATTATATGAAGTCGCTTTTTCGATTAATTTTATAATATCCTTCAAAAGAAAATAAATTTTTGTTTGGAATACATAATGAGTTTTCCTAAAACCTCTCTCTCTTTCTCTCTCTCTCTCTCTCTCTCTGAATAAGTATAATATTTTAAGATTATCACATCAGGAAAGTATATTCTTTGTTAAAGATAACCGTTACTTAAAAGGAAGAAAGTAAATTGAATAACTACTTTCCTTAGCAACAGAATGATATTTTTCCGTGTAATATTTTAATAATTTCTACATCCGGAAAGAGACTCGCGGAGAGATCGCGTTAAATCGCGATCAAAGTCGATCTATAGAGTTAAGCGAGGTCGATTCCGAGCAGAATGAGTTAGTGAAGTGGTTCTAAATAGCGCTCGAAGGCTCTCTGCTTAGATCGAACGTGTTACATGAATGAAACGTGGAACCGGACGACGATGCTTAGCGGTGAATGTAGAACAAGTATGAGAAGTAATGCAGTATGGATGTCTATAGCATATAAACAACAATACAACATATGTTTTCCCACATATGCCCGAGCATATGTCGTAACTTTTAAGATAAGAAGAAATATCTTGTAATTCGCGGGAAAAAAATATTAGATAACATGAATAATTCTTTTTAATTAATTATTTTATTATGATTCAACAAGTATTAATTCTACTAATTACTTCTATTTGATTTTTTTTTATTCTTTAGAATTTATTTAATTTTAAATAGTAAAAAGGTTCAAATAACTTAACAATTATATATGATTTTAATTTATATTATTGAATCAATATTACAAATGAATGAGTATAATATTATTTAATTCTATGAAATTTTGACCAAACATAATTTATTTCCATCTCATCTAGATCTTTTTTTTATTCATTCTGAATTCTCTGATGGAAGATCTGGTATATATAATTATAGGATTCTTCATAAAATAAAATATTCTCTCAACGACCATGAATCTATCTCTCAAAGTAGAGTGCTCCCTATTCTGTGTTATCTCAAGTTGAAAAGCATATTGTTTACATTACACAAAAAATATAAAAATAAATAAATAAATTTTTAGCAAGTATCTCTTTTGAGGACAACTATCAGCGACACTGATGCAAGAAAAATATTGCACGCGTGCGTGCAAAATTTATATGAATATCAAATTAAAAAAAATTGAATTTTTAATCTTCAAAATCGAGGTTTAACTTCTTCTATTCTCCCCTGACCTTTTCAGCGTATTTTTTTTTACAGGGTACAAAATCGATGCGCGGAAAAAATACACGCGGACGTAAAGGTGTCGCGCGTTTATGTATTTTAACTCTCCGAGAGAATTGGATTTTTAAATTTTTCCGCAATCCGGGTTGACTGTCGGATTTGACATACATCTTCTATCCGATTCCGATCGGGGTGTTTTTTACAGGGCGTGTACCAGGAAACGAACCCTGGCCACGTTAGATCTCCGGAAAAGAAGAGTCCCGGAAGGAGCAGGGCGAGCGTTGAATTCATAATCCTCGGAATCGGGGATCGCTGCGTTTACTATGCGGTGCGAGAAGAGTAAAGACGAGTTCTTCGTTCATTCGTTTCTCAAACAGATCACGAACTCAAAATGACGTTAAAATGAATTGTATCGAAAAGTGACTTTTGAACCTTAATAGATACGATGATTTTCCAGTCCTTTACTACACACGATGTCATTCGTGTCTCGGGTTAATTTTCATCTTTAATAAATATGTAAAAATTATTAAGTGATTCTTACATTTTTAAGACTAAAACAAGGGCTACGAGTCAAGCTGAATCTTAATGCTAGATTAACTACAAAAACATAAGTTTATTAACAAACGTTTCAACTCTTATTGGGTTATTCTCAATGTTTAAATTACAATTTGAACTCAACGACTCATTTGAAAAACAATCACGGTTGTGACTGCGTTTTTAAGGTCATCGTATAAGATCGTTTGATGACCATCGTGCGCTGTAATACGCATCTACAATTTATCCGAATATTTATCATCTATTTCTTCAGGTTTATATATTAAATAATGCTCACAACCATCCATAACGAAATTTTACATACACGATGTTGAATTTATATTTTATTACATTTACCGTCTAAATCATCATATGTATTGGCAAGTGATTGTTTTTCAAATGAGTTGTTGAGTTCAAATTGTAATTTCAACATTGAGAATGAGACTTATTGTCATTTATTGTTAATAAACTTATGTTTTTTCGTAGTTAATTTAGCATTAAGATCCAGCTTGGCTCGTAGCCCTTGTTTTAGTTTTAATTTTACAAATTATTTGAGCCTATTTTCTGTTACTATTTCTTACATTTTTACTTTAACATTTTTACAAAATATTTATAAAGTTGTATATTTAAAAAAATTGCATGTAAATGTTATAACTAATTAATTCTCTTCTAGTTTTTCGAAGAAAAGAAACATACAGGATACGAATGACCCAATCTCGTACTATATTTAATTTAATATACTATAATTAATTTGAAGCCATTTTGATATCATCCAAAGCTCGTTCCTTTTAGCTGAGCTTCTTGCACAGTTCATCTTTTCTCTTTTTTCTCCAACGTCGAGAGAAAAGGAGGAAAGATGAACCATACAAGAAGTTCAGCTAAAAAAAAACAGACTTATAATTTTTTGTTCTGCTTGGAAACTCTCTCCGCGTTAGAAACCTTATACCCTTGGTCACGAGATAATAAACTTTTGATTAGTCCTTCATTTTTGTCAACTTCAGTAAGTTAGAATGAGATAGTATACATTGAGAAAAATGTTTGGTTGAAAATGAACAAACCAGAAAATTCTGATTATATCAATCAGAATTTTTTGGTTTGTCCATTTTCAACCAAACATTTTTTTCAGTATGTACAACAAGAGATAATATACTCTACTTCTTCATGTTTTAATAAAGTTGCTCGTGTCCAGATTCTGTTATAGTCTCTAGGTTGTGTGTAATCGTCGGGACGCGGAAATCGCATGCCTACTTCGTGGCACGGTTAAGCTCACACTGGAAAAAGGAGTCTAGTTGCATTAATTGGAGTTCTCGTTGAAAATGGACAAGTCAGAATTTCTGATTGAATCGAGGGATCCAATGACAGAGTCCACGAACGATTTTGTCAAAAGTCTACGAGAGAGAAAGGCATATATACTTCTTCCCTATATATGTATATATATATATATTATCTCACTTTACTTATACTGTTTCATTTAATAACTTTAATTGAGAGTATGTGTACAGAGAGTACAGAAAGAAAAAAAATATATATCTTTTTCTCTCGTAGGATTTTGACAAAACTTTTGACTAGACTTTGTTTTGTACGCTCTGTTATATTGTGTAAAAATACGGATGCGGATTTAACAACATGGGTTTTAAATCCATACCATGTATATATACGGTGTTACACCAACATGATGAGAATTATATAGACACCGCATAGTAAATTTACACCGATATTTTTTAAAGGTAAGATCTCTAGATTAAACCTATTATCATAAATCTAATTGACTCTCTAAGTCTTGAAAAAAAATTTTAGTCTGGCTCAAATTTTAATCTTTAAGAGTGAGATTTCATTCTTTAAAGTGAAACTTTTACTCTAAAAATTTTAAAGAGGAAATAACCAAAATTTTGATTAATGTGATCAGAAATTTCTAGTTAATTTTCAACCAGAAATTCTCATTGCGTCGCGTGCCTCGGAGCGGCTTCAAGCTCGTTCGCTCGCGCGCGTTTCCTTTAAAGAATGGCAATTGAGTCAGTCCTGAAAAAAAGTGACTTAAATTTTAATCTTTAAGGCTGGGTTGTTCCACCTTTCGGTAAACTTCAGCTTACTCTTTTACTCTTTTGTTTAACCAATAAATAAATTACCACATAGTTTATCTAAAGATGGAACAACCGGCCCTAAGACTGAGATTTCACTCTTTGGAGTAAATTTTTTTGTCTAAAAATTTTAGAGAGGGAAGATAATCAAAATTTGGAATGAATACGATCAGAACCATCTAATCCATTTTCAACAAGAAATTGTCATTGCACGCGCCGTGTACCCCGGGGCGACCTCGTGCTCGCTCGCTCGCGCGCGTTTCCTCGCGCGAGGTGTCACCGGTGCGGCGCCAAGGTGTCCCTTTTCAGCGCGGGCGATCGAGCGTGGTTACACGTATTGATGTATCCCTCGCGTCGCGAGGAGGATGCGGCCGTGATCGGTGAACCGGTTCGCGGCGAGTAAGAGGCTCGCCAACGTCGATCCCGCTAATGTCGATCCACCACGTCGCGCCGGCGGAATTCACGCGCATCGCGGGCACACGCACGCACGCACGCACGCACGCACACTCGTGAGAGCCGGAGCGACGGGAGACCGGAGAGCGACACGTAAGACACGACGGCTCCTCTTCGCGCCACGCGTTTGACGCCCAGAGACGTGGCAGCGCGCTTCCACGAACTTTCTTCACAGAGACGTACGTAGGATCGAACACTCACGATTCTCTTTCTCTATCTTTCACGCACGACCTGTGTTATCTTGAAACCAGAAGAACCAGCACAGATTCCTGGATGATAAGAAGAGACCCTGTGCTCGAGTTGTTTTTTCCTAGGAATGAACTTTTACGGCCCCGTGGAATCTGGAGCGGCTTTTCGGAGCGAATCTCACGTAGCACTACTTTATTATTAACTCTTATCATATAAGTGTCAATTACTCCGGCGCGGTAACGGCCCCGACGATCTCACGACCTGTGAGATCGGATCGTATCACAAGAAACGGCCGAAGGAATCGACTCTTAAGGGACTCCTTAAGTGCGAGGATGAAACACGCAAGACACTCGCCGTACGTGATGGTACGCGGCGCGTGGCCGAGAATGCCGAGATCGGGACGACCGATCGTTACACGCCTCTGGTGCCGACTAGGGTTCGCCAGATCTCGCTTGTTTCGTCGACCGAGAGTCGAGAGCCGAGAGCCGAGAGGCGAGAGCGATCGCGAGAACGGAGCGGGACACAGATATAGCGTGCGCGCGAGAGAAGGCCGCGGGCCGCGGGGATAATCCGCTCTCTCCCTCTCTCTCTCTCTCTCCCCCCTTCATTTACTGTCTTACTCTCCCGTCGCGAAACGGCTGGTCGATTCGACACGCT